ATTCGCTGGCTGGGGAATTCTGGGAGTTGAAGTCCAGACATCTTCAAGTTGCCAAGGTTGAGAAACACTGTCTTATACCATAGTTGCGAAGGTTGGAAAACAAAAATCTAGTGCAAGGAGCCAAACTGGATTGGCTGAGGAATTCTGGGAGTTGAAGTCCAGACATCTTCAAGTTGCCAAGGTTGAGAAACACTGTCTTATACCATAGTTGCGAAGGTTGGAAAACAAAAATCTAGTGCAAGGAGCCAAACTGGATTGGCTGAGGAATTCTGGGAGTTAAAGCCCACTAGTGTTAAAGTTTGGAGCCTCCTGGTTTAGTGGGTCCCAAGAAGAACGTCTTTTCTGCTGTGGCATCCACCTTTTGGCACATCATTTCCAAACTTGCCCCAGTCCAGCTGGGCTTTCATAAAGCATTAAAAGTAGCTTTGCTATCAATCCTGGGGCCTCGATAGTGTGGCTGAACCTGCTTTTTGTTTGTATTGATTTTGAAGTGATTATTCTTCGGTGTCATTTTTGCACCACTTTATGTTATTTATGTTTTTAATTATTGGTTACGCTTCCATTGCGTTTTAAAACAAGGTTGTATGTGAGACGAGTGGCCATATTAAATTAATTAAGTGGGTCGGAAATGGATTCTCTAAGCAACCGCAAGGCAGAATTTCAGTGTTTCAAGGCCAGGTTTGACAAGAGAACCAAAACATGGAGGAACTCTTTAAGTAATTTTAACTCACACAAGCTTCCTGCGTGCAACTTCAACTGTAGGAGCTTTTTAAAAGCTCTCCAAGATATATTGGAATTTGACACTTGAATGCCTTGTGTGCAAACATTGCAAGAAAGGAACCTATAACTCTTTGGAAAAGCGAAGCTATGTAAATATATCCCGAGCAAATGCTGGCCTTTCTTTTAAAAGCATGATGGCTTATTGTGCTCTATGTACGGCCTTAAATCTCTAGGAAAAGCATTCGTTTAAAGAAGCAATCCTGCATAATTGTCTAATTAAAAACCAAACCAAACCAGGAGGAAGGTTTTTCTCAATGCAAAGCTGAGGTTGTAACGCTTGCTGTGCCAGGATTTTATCTTCTGTTCAATTGTATAGCTTGATAACGGCCCTTTTAAATCGTCATAGTTGGTTCAAATTAGATTTCTTCACCTCTCCATCTTAACCGTTGGGTGAGAAATGGGAGGGCTTGTAGTTCAGCAGATAGAGGTCACCAGAGATAACATGGATGGCAAACACATTTATTTTACCTCTGCAGAAGGAATTTTGTTTTATTTCTAACTAGCTGATAACTTGGCGTAGCCCGGGTATGTATTTATCCCAATTCTGTATTAGAGGGAGCCCCCTTGTGGAGTACTGTGAAGCCGTTACCATGGCAATACCCCTGTGGTGCACAGTAGAAGCCATTTTAAGGCACAACAGGATGTATCTTAACAGAACTTGTATCCAAAATGCACACCATCACTGTCAAAAGTACTGTGACTTGGCACTATCGATATAATTAAGTCCTTTTCATTTCAGCAGCCCAGGCGTTCCAGAGTTACA